GAGAACACATGAACACAGGGAAGGGAGTACCAAACACTGGGGTCTATTGGGGGGAAGAGGCGAGGGACAGTGGCCGGGGGAGCTGGGGAGCATAGCCTGGGGAGAAATTCCAAATGTGGGTGAAGAAGGCAGCAAAACACACTGCCATGTGTGTACCTATGCAAATGTCCTACATGTTCCGCACATGTACCCCAAAACCTAAAATGCAATAAGAAAAAAAATAAAATAAAAATGATTTTGTAATTGCAGAAGATACTTGCACATACTAAATATAATTACAATTGGATTCCAATAATCAGACAAAACCCATAAAAAACATACAAGAATTTTAGAAATGCTTTATTACAGTGCAGATTTTTAAATAAACACATGACCAGAAATTTTCATTATTTTCCATTTTATATTCTCTCTCATTATTTCTACTAAGCTTATTTGGCTCTTCTATTAACTCTTTTAACTCTCTCTAACTCTTCTATTAATACATAATTGTATGCTTCAGAATTTCCCTAGTAACAATACCTTTAAATTCTAGTTCCTTCTCCAGCTCCTTTACAAGATAACATAAATTATTTGTGTCATGATTGCTTATCTCTATGTTCTTCTCAATAATATTTGACAGTGGCCATTTCACAGCTTTGGCAATGATGCATTGAAAACCCATTCAATCCAGATTTCCTCCCTTTCACCAGGGATTTGTAATGAAATACCCTTTTTCCACCTCAGTGTACCTTGTTTATATTTTCAGAAATAACTTAAAGTGCTTATCTTTATTACTTCTCTGTCTTGTATCAATGCATTTATAATTTTATAAGTATAAAATATAATTTCATATTTTATAATTAATATAATTTTATGTGGCTTATAGACTTTTTCTTTCTGCCAGGTCTGGGCCCTGGTTTCTTTCCCCTCTCCTTTAAAGTGGTGATCCTAATAATATATACATCCTAAACCAATTAATAATCTTAAACAAATTGTCTATAGTGTCCTGAAATCTCGTATACCAATTTCACACCATCTCTATGCCTCGAAATGATTTTATCACCTTATGTCTACCAAGCCCAATAGATGCCCCAATTCCTCCTTAAGACTTTAACTGTGTATTTAGATCTAATATTATTCATTGTTGCTCAAACCTCCTTTGATCCTTACTTTCAGTATTCTGTATTATCTTTCAAATGTTAATTGCCATATGCTGTGTATTTTTAAATTGACTTACCTCCTTAAATCTTATTTCCCTAATGACACAATGAACTCTTTGACTACAGATATTTCACGACATAATTTTATACATTACCTACTGCCCATTAATTCCTGGCATGGTTCAGAAAACACAGAAGATGCTTAATAAATGTGTATTGAATTGAATTATCAGTCTGTCCATTTAATGTGTTAGCAGGTGTTTACTTGGTTCCTTCCTTGTCTTGGCCTAACACTGGATTTCCTTTCTTGATCAATTGCATTCAAAATAAATGCTTTGGAGGCCTATTTTGTTGTTGTTGTTGTTGCAGCTGGCAAAGATTCAGGTGGTCTTATGCTACCAGATATGCATATTTTGGTTTGTTTACCTTTTAAACTAGAGACGAACTAGGCCACTGAGAATAAGGAACAGCACCAAATCAGAATCTCTTGAGGAAAACTGAGGTCTGAGTATTAGAGTTAATAACTAAAAATGCCAAATTTTGGAGCCCGAGGCAGGAATGAGGAACCTGTTCCCAGAGCCAAGGGCTGGAAGCCAGAATGTGGAAACAAAACAGATATAATTTAGTCATGTGTATGGAATAAGTATTCAGTGAAGAGTGAATATTCCAGCATGATTTCAACAGTAATTATAGTCTATGGTTTCCACAAAAATCAAGTTTAAAAATCTGGATCATGTAATGTGATCGCAAATGTAGATGGAGATGAGCTGAATGATCATGAATCCTCGATTATTCTGGCCATTGCCTATCAGTGCTCAGTTGCTGGGTCCATTGCTCTTCGTGACTCCACAGGGTTTAATTACTGCACAAGATGGACTGTGCTCCCATAGGAGGAATGCATTCCACAACAGTTTTCTTAGTTTTGGATTGTTACATAATGAGTCACCCCAGAGACTTCTGGTTGTTTCTAATTGGCAGAGAACTATGGAAGCTGCTTGAGGAAAGGTATTAGGTAAGTGCAAGACATTGACATTAGCTGATGTGTATTTGGTGTTCCAAGGCAGCAAAGTATTAGAATCCACAAAGTATTAAAAGCACATTTTTCCTCCGATACGGTTGGAAAATTTTAAAAGTTCAATTTGTGGCAGTACCTAATACAATGTTAGATAAATATTTATTGAACAGACTGATTATTAATTTTTCTTAAGTTATTGCTAAAACATTTGCTTAAAAAGATGTAACAAACCTCTTCTTGTTTACTGTATAAAATACTCTAAGAAATAAATATACTTTTCCAGAAATTCAATTTATATTTTAAATTTCAGGATAAGAGAAAGCTAATTGAAATAATTCAACCACATAAATCGAATTAACTCAAAATTCAAATCTGATTTCTGAAAAATCTCATAGCAAACAAAGGATAACCTCATATCCATAATGAGGTAAAGGATTAAGACAGTCATTTAGTTAATTCAAGCTAAAAATCTTCTTTCCTTCATAGCTTTAATGGATATTTTTAGCAAAAGTACTGAAGTCTGAATTTATCTGGAAAGCTGCCTTGGCTTTTCAGGGAACTTTTCATGGACATAAATATGGGCAATATTTCTTCTCTAAAGAGACTCATAATTTAAATTTTAGCATTTGTCCCACACTGTTAAATTTACAGATATCTATTTCCAGCATTCTCTTAATTAAGAAGTCCTTCTAGATAGAGGGATGAAAAATTATTAAAGTAAGAAACTTCCTTTACAGGTCACAGAAAATTTAAGCTACAGAAAACCATTAAGCTACAGAAAATTTAAGAATTATTAGTTTTAGCTGCAGACATGGTGTTTTTGGCAGAGGCTGGCTTTTTAGTCCTTTCCTTCAAGCTCCTCTTTGTCACAAATACATTCTGTAAGCTTAAGCATGGTGATGAACAAATGCTTGGTTTGAGGAAACTATTATTTTTTTTCACTATTCTAAAGAAAGAGTTTTGTCTCTATATGAACTTTAATGAGCTTATTGTGCTGAGGTTATTTTAGTGATACATTGGAATGGTTCTCAAAATTGTATCAGAAACATCTGTAGTTAAAAAAAAAAAAACAACTCTGTCTACTTTGTAAATGTACCCTTCTGGGGTCTCCACCACAGCCTTCCTGAAAATGTGTCTATAATAAAGTACATCTCAGGCATCTATGTATTATGATTATGTCTCTGGTAACGTAAGACCACCTCAATCTTTGCCAGCTGCAACAAAAAAAATAAGCCTCTGAAGCATGTATTTTGATTGCAATTAATCAAGAAAGGAAATTCAGTGTTAGGACAACACAAAGAACCAAGTAAAATCTCCCCAGATGAGCTTGGTGGATGGTGAGGGTGAGAACCATGGGCAGGTGGCTAATTTAGGTTGAAATGAACACGTTTGGACCAACCTTGTAAATATACTGAAGTTTTTATTTAATGTGAATATTTAAATTGAAGATGTTAATTCAATCTTTACATATATTGTTGGCTTTATTGCCAACAACATTACCTGTCTTTTTCCACATTTTATCTCCATCCTGAGTTTAAGCAAATTGTAATGTCATAATGGAAGTGGTATCATTTTTGTATAATACAAAGATAGGCAGAGATGAATTGCAGTTAGAAATCACTTTGAAGATCTCTATGATTAGAAAAAAATTCTAACTTATAAGCAGTGCTTAAGTATATAAAAGCAAGGAATTTTCTGAATTATGCTTCATTTATTGCAAACAAACACAAAAAACAGTGGAAGATCTGATTAGATCACAATATTAAGAAAACATACAATGTATGTATCAACACAAAGAAAATTCTGACCTTTTAAAGACAGAGTGCCAAACACCCTGAAAAAGAGGAAACAATCATGAGGGAAAGTTGTTTTTACTAAGTTAATGTACTTTAAAAATTTACTTCACCAAGAAAGTAGAATGTTTTAAAAGGAATGTTTTTTTAAATTTAAAAAGCAGAAGTTCTGATCAACCACTTCTTCCAAATTGTATAACTATTGAGAGGACAGTAATAGTAAAGTCTGTTTCCTTTCTGGGAAAGCAAGGAGAAGCTATTATTGATTCTAACATATATTTCAGGGAGCACAGAAGGTGCAATAAAGCTGAAGTGAGTAGTGTAGAGCTCCATGCTTCAGACTAACTGATGCCTTCTGACTCCTGTTGCTGATGTTTTAGTAGGGAAGGTGCAGTGAATAGTTAACTCTCTTTACAACCATCCAGAAAAAGACATCTGCAATTGCTCCAGGTCTCTCTCTCCGTCTCCCTCTCAACACCTCATTCTATCTCATTTGATGCTCTTCACTTCCAGGCAGATCCTTTGACCTAAGCAGATTATTATAGATGCATGAAGGACACAGCCAGCTAGCCACGCTTCTCAAGGAAGAGATTTGGCTCCAAATAGGACACTAAGCTTTTCAGCCGTCTGCTTATTTACCTAGTCAGCAAGATGCAGTGTCTCTGGGTGCTTAGTGGACTCCTGGGGAATCAGAGGAGAAACAAAAGCAGAAGTGACAGCCGCTGCAAATGTGGGAGTCTGTGCCATTAAAGGAAGCAGTTGCTAATAAGGGCCTGTGAGACCTAGGTTTCCTTGGTTTCCATGACAGTTATTAGGTACCATAGAAATTGAATTGTCTCCCACAATGCTCTTAGGGGAGAGGGGTGCTCCAGTGACAAAGCAGTACAATTATGACTTGCAGTAAATCGTCCTTTGGAGAATGCAGTACTCCCTGGATTATTTGCTCTTGCATTTCTTTTAAACTCCCCTTTCAATGTATTTGACATTTTGACCAGAAGACCCTGGCCTCTGCTGCACAGTGTCTCAAACACTATTTTTCCCCTTTTTGTTTAGACCTGAGCTTGGCAAAGCAAGGATATGAACAATTGTGCAGGTGGGCTACTCAGGGCGAGTGAAGAGATAAGGCATCCAATCAGGGATTGGCCACCTGCAGCCCTGCCAATATGCCCCTCCACCAGATTTCCGTAATCCCAGCGCGGGAGACTGCCAGCAATGGGAGAAGTTCAATGGGCAGAAACAAAGAGAAGAACAAGGAAGTCGAGGTAAGAAGAGGTTTAATTTAACAAAATCAAAGAGCCAAGCCACTGTTGCCAACAATGCTCTCTGCACCATGGGACATGGCAAGGGCTTAAGAGCAGCTGGTTCCCAGCTCTCAGTGTGTAACAGTAGATTGGAAGAAAATTACTTGTAACTGATTGGGACATATTAAACTTCACCTCTATTTTGTGAATGAAGAGAGGAGCCAAATCCATAAGGATACTCGCTACTTGGTAGATGGAAACTTTTGCCTCTTTCTCTAAACAATATAGTCACTTTTGACTTTTATGGCTTGTGGGTTACAACCAGCTGTTCTGGGTTGGCTCTGGAGTTGCTGTGGTACATTTTCACACAGTGGAACTGGTGATGCTTGCAAGTTTGCTCACTGCTCATTAAGCTAGGATGTTTGAAAATAACTTTCTTAACAAAGGAACAGAGAAGCCAGTTATGACATTGAATCTATAATATGATAGTGCCTCACAGGATCAATTGCTCTTCATTCATTGGCAGTGCATGGTTGTGTATAACTGTTATTTGATATCTGTATATTTATATTTTGTTCTTCATGAGAAAAGGCATTGGTTGAAATTTCACACAGGTTATAATTTTCAACTTCTTGTGTTGAGCTTTTATTTTGCAGGGAAATTTAGCAGCAGTTGTTGTAAGTTAAACTGCTCAAAAGATCAGATGCTAGAAACGTCAAAGGTTTTTAAGAAAGGGATTGAACTGAACACAGTCAAGAACATTAAGTGGAAATGTCATAAATGTTGTTGTGTTCCCCTAAAAGGAGCTTGAGATAGACAGAATGCCAGAAACTGCAATCCTCTTGTCTCTTTAACACAACTATTTTCTAGTCCTCGGGTATCCTTAGAATTGTAGGAGATGAGCTTTCTCTACTTCCAGTTCTATACCTTTTTTTTTCTCAAGAATACGTGCTGGAGGTAGAGGGAACAGCAAATCAAATAAAGGAAATGGGAGTGGAGTGTCAAGGAGTGTCCTAAAGGAAAAGACTAGTAAATTTGAATACATCTTCAAATGAGAAAATACATTTGTAGCCTCTTTCTACTTTATTTGAACTGATTCTGAAAATGTTGCTGGGCGCGGTGGCTCACGCCTGTAATCCCAGCACTTTGGGAGGCCGAGGGGGGTGGACAACGAGGTCAAGAGATCGAGACCATCCTGGTCAACATGGTGAAACCCCGTCTCTACTAAAAATACAAAAAAAAAAAAAAAATGTCATTGGATGACAATGACTTCTTGATGTGGTTGGAATTTCTCGATGACTTCGGGAGATTTTTCCGACTAAGTTAGTACAAGAGATACTTTTACATTCATAATTGCCTCATCAAAAACACATCAAGTATTTCTGGAATTTCTGAGAATTAAACATCTTTGTAAAGAAATTTAAGCAGCCCAGAATGCTCAGGCACATTCTCTATTGTGTCTGTTTCCTTCGACCTGGCAATATATACATGTTATGGAATGTGATTATCAGAATATGAAAGAGTTTTCTCTTAAGTTTGTTGGTATGGGGTGGGGAGGGTGGGGTACGCTGATCAGTTCCACAAATAGGTATGGAAATGTCAAAAACAAGATTCATAAAAGTTATCCATTGCTTACTCACAGTCTAAAGTTTTGGATAAATTTATGATAATGTTGTGGAAACTTTATGTGAAGATTTTGAGTGGCAAATTTGTTTGGTATCTGGAATGATCAGTATCTGAACAATATTTGGAAAAGAAAATCGTGTGTCAATTCCAGGTAAATTCTACAAATCTCTTTCTGTAAATGTCTACTTGGCATGAATTAGATAAATTGGAATGGCTTACATGAATTTTTTAAGGACAAACATATTTTTTATCATTTTAGAAATAATAATGAAATTATTCTGTGTCAAGTAACAATAGCTACAATCATCCAGATATGGGAATTAATCCACATCTTTAAACATCATCATGAATACGTTGAATTATTAAAATATGTATAACTTTGTTTCAGGGTCAAAAACACTGTAATGTGTCACAATGGGAGTTAGTGGGCATTCTTAAGGGAAGATGAGGTTAATTAGGAGAAAAAGAAAGGAAACTCTGAGCCTTCATGTAATTTCTAAGAAGAGATACAGTTCTGGGCTGGGCGAGATGGCTCACACCTTTAATTCCAGCGCTTTGGGAGGCCAAGGTGGGCGGAGCAAGAGGTCAGGAGTTCGAGACTAGCCTATGCAACAAGGTGAAACCCTGTCTCTACTATAATACAAAAAATTAGTTGGGCATTGTGGCAGATGTCTGTGATCCCAGCTACTCAGGAGGCTGAGGTGGGAGAATCACTTGAACCCAGGAGGCAGAGGTTGCAGTGAACAGAGATTATGCCAGTGAGCTCCAGCTCAGGCAACAAAGCAAGACTCTGTCTCCAAACAAAAAGAAAAAGAAGATACATCTGAATATCAGAAAGGGAAGCATTTATAATGTTTCAAATGCTTCTTGGTTTTCTATAGGATGTAGTTTAAAGTTTCCTTTTAAATAGTATGCTCAAAACATATTAGTCAGTCTTGTAGGTCATTGTTTAACTTGTTTTGATAAACTAAATAAATAATCTAAAAGATTTGTAACTGCCATTAAGGTAGACAAATAGCATACATCTGTGTGTTGGAAAGCAAGAAGAATCAATGAGTTCTATAATTTCAAGTGGTGATGCTGTCTAAAGAAAGGTAAAACATCTTGTACATATATGGACATTTCCTCACGAACAAATGAGAAGCATCCTTTCTTGAAGTTTTCTTAATGTTTTTTGCTTGTCTTAAAGTTATCCAAAGAAGTATATGTGCATTGGGAAAATGATCTAATTTCAGAATTAAGAATTAGGTTATAATTAATTTAAATGAGTAAATTAAATCAAAAACTAATGTAAATTTAAGGCAATTAACTTCTCTTCATTCGAAACTTTGTGACTCTTAACTAATGTATGAACTTGATATATTGCTTAAGCCACATGAAGAAAAAAATAGGAAAACTATCAATCATAGTTAAAATACAGAAGATCCATCCTGTTAAAAATATCCAGAAAAATTTTCTAAAGATTCTTTTGTTGATTTTTTTAACAGCATAGATCTTCTATATTTTAAAATTTTTAAAAATAATTCCTACCTCTAGCTTTACAATGAAAATACATTTTGAAATATTTTGCATGCCATACTATTATAATCATCTCTATTTTATTAATAAATCTGGAAGTATAAAATACAAAATAACATATTATGTCCAGTTTGGATATAGTTGATATTAAGAGTTAGGGAAGGCATGCCTCTGAAGGTTTATCTTTCAGAGGCACCAACTCTGGAGGTTGATTAGGCCTTTAAAATGAACTTTCTTAGACTTGTATTCTAGGTGCAAGATTTTATTAGCACAACCAGAGTGGTTACTGCAACCACTTCAGTCTCTTACAAAGTGAGTAGATACTGGTCCATTACAAAGCTACAGAAAATTTAGTATAATACAGTAGTCAAATTAATTGATTTACACTTGGAGTCTGTTTATCTATGATGGAATGGTTGAGCGCTAGCTCCAGGAGAGTTCTGGAAGAAAATTAGTAATTGGATTTTCCTTGGTAAATGGAATTGATAAAGAAAATAAAATGGTTTAGGTTCACCTACACCTTGGGAAAACCACATTTTTGGGAAAGCTTTGGGAGAAAATACATCTCCAAAATGGTTCGTAGTTCCAGATTTCTTTTTCTTTTCGGGTTGAATGTCAGAGTCTGACAGTTTAGCCTCTTTATATCTTATTTGCCTACTTTTCTAAATAGACCACTTTGCTTCTATTAATTCATTCTTCTTTTTTAGGTCTGTCCACACCACTTACTATGCTGTAATTAATTCACATTAGAGATTTGAGTCTGTCTCTTACAAGGGCAGTGAATTTTATTAATCAAATTATTAGCCTTCTAGGTGTAAATTCAACTACTCTAGATCTGGAAATTATAATAATTGTATAAATTCCAGTATTTAGTCAACCTCTAGCACACATTTCTTGTACATCCCTGGGATTTGTAAGGAAATGCGTCTACGAGTCACTGTGTTGTAAGTATAGGGATATAGCATGGATGGTGCCAAAGCTGTTTCTGGCACCTGCACTACATGCTGCTATATTCTTTTCAGCACACTGAGTCTATTCCTTAGAGGATGGGAGGGACTTAAGAGGAAAAAACAAGCCATGAGTCCTTTGCTTCTAATCCTTCTCACTCTCAAGCTGACCACACATGGCTGTAATGCTTTAGAAGGATTGAAGAGGAAAATGAAAAACAAACCCCTTTGTCTGTATGTACATTTTTCTTTACTGCTTTCATTATTTTGTGATAATTCTCAACTTTGGTTTTTGCATTTTTTTTCCAAAAAGAATATTTTGTTTTTCTCCCTAAGATATCCCTTTTAAGATCTTCTATTTGCCTTTCTAGTGATAGCTCACGGGCCATCTCTTATTTTTCAGAGTAGCTGGAAATCTGTTAGGGGAATTTCTTTTGGTAGAAATTTGAGTAACCTGGAAAAAATATGGCTTTTGATATATATTTGTCATTTTGAACGTAATGGATAAGTTACTGATTTCTTTATTATCATTTTTAGTAAAAAAAATTAAAAAATTTAAAAAAACATATTTAATGTCAGGGCCAGATCCAAGATTAGTATTCAGACTACTCTAGGCTCAAATCTTACATTTTTTTCTTTACAGTTAAGATAACTTAATCTTTTCACATTACTTAAGCAAAATTGCTAGAAACAAAGGATCCCCAAATCAGAAACTTTCTTAAAAATTATTTATTTTAATTTACATTCCACCATTAAAGTCCATAGAGAATAAAGAGTTTGCCAGTGTCACACACTGGTTCATGACAAATTTGGGACAGAAATTCAGGCCTTTTGACTACCAGTCTATTGCTCTTTCTATTACTACTACATTTTGCAATCTTTTTTCAGACACCAAATTATTATCCCCAAGGAGTTAATTTAACTCCCAAA